CCGAAGGCAGACGCTTAACGACTGAGCCACCCAGGCGCCCCAAGATTTTATTTTTAAGTAATCTCCACACCCAATGTGGGGCTCAAACCCACAATCCCAAGATCAAGAGTTGCACGCTCCACTGACTAAGCCAGCCAGGCACCCCAAGGTTCAAACATTTCTAATCTAACCAAATTCTTCTAGAGACTATAAAAGGGGGACTGTGCCTTAACTTGTTTAATGAGGTTAATATAATCTTGATACCAAAAGCAGAGGAGAAGATTAAAATATAAAACTACAAGCTAATCTCATTCATGAATACAAATGCAAAAATCCTAACTAAATAAAATAAATGATGTGGTGTGATGTGATGTGAATTTCACTTCGTTGGTACTCCTCCCAAAACCTAAAATCCCAGGCTAATTATGAGAAAGCATCACAGAAACCCAAATTGAGAGACATTCTATGAAATACCTCACTCACCAGAACTCTTCAAAAGTGTCAAGGTCATGAAAAACAAGGAAGGACTGAAAAATTCTCACAAACCAGAGGAGACTAAGGACACATAACAATTAAACGAATGTCAGATCCTAGATTGGATCCTGGAACAGAAAAAGGCAAACAATTAGTGGAAAAACTGTTAAAATCCAAATGATTGCAGTTTATGTAAAGTTTTAGTTTCGAGGAATGTACCATGGTTAGGTAAGATGCCAACATTAGGGGAAGCTGGGTAGATGGGTCCTCTCTGTATTCTTTTCTGTAAATCTAAAATCATTCCAAAATAAAAAGTGTGTGTGTGTATCATCACCTTTAAAGTAGTCTTGCAAGGGGCAAGGGGCGCCTGGGTGGCTCAAATGTTAAGTGTCTGCCTTCGGCTCAGGTCATGGGCCCACGGTCCTGGGATCGAGCCCTACATCCGGCTCCCTGTTCGGCGGGAAGCCTGCTTCTCTCTCCCCCACTCCCCCTGCTTGTGGTCCCTCTCTCGCTGTCTCTCTCTGTCAAATAAATAAATCTTAAAAATAAATAAAGTAGTCTTGCAAAAAACAAATCTGATCCTAATCAAACCTCTAGATAGGCATACCAGTTTATAGGAAATACGGATATAAGAACATGTTAAGCGGGCGCCTGGGTGGCTCAGTCGGTTAAGCGACTGCCTTCGGCTCAGGTCATGATCCTGGAGTCCCCGGATCGAGTCCCGCATCGGGCTCCCTGCTCAGCAGGGGGTCTGCTTCTCCCTCTGACCCTCCTCCCTCTCGTGCTCTGTCTCTCATTCTCTCTCGCAAATAAATAAAATCTAAAAAAAAAAACAAAACATGTTAAGCTACACCATGCACAATGCAGTAAGCTAAATCCAGAACGTGTTCAGTTCTATAAGACAAATGATTCCATTTCTTCAACAAATAAATGACATGGAAAACTAAAAAGAGAAAGTGCAGTCATAGATTAAGATACTTAAGAGACATACCAACCAAATTGATAAACCAATTAAAGAGATATTTTGAGACAACCAGGCAAATCTAAAAACGGACTGTTAATAATAAAGTTATTATTACTTTTGTTAGGTATTATAATGTTACTGTGGTTATTAAAGAGTCCTTATCTGCTAAAAGATATTGAGGTATTTATGAACAAAATTATATGATATCTGCAACTGGCTTAAAGATATTTAGAAGGGGAAAGAAAGGCTAGTGTCTGTTACGCTATTCTCTCTACATTTATGTATGCTTGAGATTGTCTAATAAAAACGTAGTAACAAGGGGCGCCTGGGTGCCTCAGTCAGTTGGACGTCTGCCTTCGGCTCAGGTCATGATCGCAGAGTCCTGGGATGGAGCCCCGCGTCAGGCTCCCTGCTCAGCGGGGAGTCGGCTCCTCCCTCTCCCTCTGCTCCTCCCCCTCCCTCGTGCTTGCTCTGTGTCTCCCTCAAATAAATAAATAAAATCTTAAAAAAAAAAATGTAGTAACAAAAAAAGCGTCTCACTTCTACAAACTTGGCTTGTCTGCCAAGGTAATCCATAGTTAGAACAACACTTCGACTCAAAAGCAACGCAATTCTTATGTGTGAATAACTAGCCTTTCATTTATCTACTTCCTTAGTTTGGATATAACATATAGGCAGCACAAAGCGGTGTCATTGATTTCAGGGGAGAAGGAGCCATACTCACTTGGCAGAAACTGGGTCTGTGGTTAAAACCCATCCTTTATACTCCTTCTCACTGGCTGTCACTCTGACTTCTTTGTACGTGTAATCTTGCCATTCTAAGGGGCCTTTCCTCATCCATTCATTCATGGCTGCCAGCTGGCTAGATCTAAAACCACCACCAGTTCGGGTTAATATATGTTCCACTCAAGCAAGTGCCATCCTAGAGACAGAGAACATCTGTGATTTGCCTCAAGTTCCATTATCAGGAAAATAGCTGATATTCACAATTCGGTCTGAAAGCTAAGGAGACACGGGCGCTGCCATGAGGCCCAGCCCGGGGTAACTCATCCGGCTTACTTCTATTCCACCACCCAGTACGATTCCAAATCGCCTTCACCCTGGCTTTGAACTCCGGTCAGCAGATGCTCAAACCTTTTAACTCTGATCTCCTGCGACCAAAGGAACTCACTCCACACCACATTTAGCCAAAACTGAAGAGGAAAACTCCTTTGATATCCACCCACTTGCTCTCTCCAGCTCTTTCTCCGCTGGATCCCGCCGGGGAGAGGCCCCGGATTTGACAATTCCCTCTTATTTGGAGGATGCACGAACCAGGGGGCAGCAGCGAAGGCTCTAGAGCGCAGATTCCGTGGCCCAGCTTGCAGCTGTACGACCCTTAAAACGGTTCTCAAACCTGGTGGTACTTAACGTTTAATTCCCACAAACGAAAGAAATACCAGCAAGAACTCCTCGCAGCGACGGGTACACAGTAACCACGCGGTGAGGAAGGAGTCACTCCAGCGGCGCCCACCTGAGCCCAGCAGGCTTTGCGCCACGTCGTCACTTCCTTCCCCCAGAATTCTCTGTTTTGTAGTCCTTGGCCTTGGTCACACCTAGAGGTCTGAGAGTCACCGGGCGTGGGGGGATAAAGGCCGGGTGCGGGCAGAGCCTGAGATTTTTGTGTAGTAGTAATAAGGCTCCTTGTTCGCTAGAACCACCCCTCTTCACTGTCACGATGGACGTTTCAACCTTTCGTTTTTAAAGAGGAAAAGTCTCGTGCCAAGTTCCTCGTTGAAAGTAGACCTGGAAATGCACCCTTGCGGTGGACTCAAAGCGCAAGAACCCTCTCGGTAAATCCTAAAGCGGGAAGTGTGAGGTGAAAGTGCCTTGGAGAAAAGCGATAGAGCCAAGATATTTGTTTGTTTGGCTAGTGTAAGGCAATTAATACGTCTGCTCCTTTGGGATGTGCCCTGGCTACAGTCCTGCAGGAGGTGCAGAAGCCAGAAAGAAAAAGCACAGGATTGGGATGATTTCCACCTAGCCGACCGTTCGCTAGTGAGGGGTGCCTCACTCACAGGAAAGCCCGGGCCTCTCCCCCGCAACCCCTCACCACCCCCGCAGTGGAAAAGGGCAAAAGACTCGCTTCTGCCACAGATTTCGGTTCAGGTATGTAGTCGGCTCCTGGCATGGTCCAAATAAACTGTGATCCTGAAAAATGGTACGAGGTGTTAAATATTGAGTTTCTGCAAATATGAACACCAAGGGAGATTTACGGAAACCGAATTAGAGGACTATCAAACCACGATGTAGAAAACATTGAAAATTAGCTTTTCCCTTACAATTTGGGATCTGAGTTCACATAATCCTTGAAGTACATTGTTTCTTATTGCCATCATTTTAAATAATCCTTTGGCAACCTTCACTCGAGTGTTTGGTTGATTATATTAATGTGGCTTTAGTAGATTAAATTAGATTATGCCAGTTAAGTCCTCTATAAATCTACAAAGAGCTAATATAAATACCAGTTGGGGGCGCCTGACTGGCTCAGTCAGAAAAGTATGCTACTCTTGATCCCCAGGTGGTGAGTCGGAGCCCCACATTGGGTATAGAGATTACTTCAATAAAAAAATGTATAAATATACATACATACCAATTGTTAAAATGTGAAGCTAAACATATGACCTCATAAAAATTCAGTCCAAAAGAGCTTCAAACAATTGTGACAACTGGCCATTTGCATTTTAAGCCTTCTATCTGTACTGCAGAATCAAAGACTTTGGAAGCTAGCTCCAAGCTTAACTTAAATGACCCCTTTTAAAGTGATGAGACTGGGGCAAATTCCTTCCCTTCTCTCCCCTCTCCCTTTAGTCTCCCAGATAATCATTTCCAGCATCTGCTGATGTGAATCACTGATTTATAACAGACTGAGCCCAATCCACTCCATAATACAGGTTTACAGAGAGACCCTCTCCTGTAGTCCACCCTCAAGTTCAGATGGTGCCATTTCCTTTTCCTTACCCTTGTCCACCTGGTGCCTCCCTCAGACCAGCTGATGTCCCTTCTCTCACATTTTCTACTTCCTCTCTTCCCTTTCCCTCTTCCTCCATCTCCTTCCTAATGTCTGCCTCCCCCTCAAACTTTCACACCCACACACACACACACACACACTTAACCTTTTCCTCTGCCAAGTGAAAAATTGTTTATTCTAGATTTTGGAGTACATTTTAATTTTAGCAAGACTTTTTTTTTTTTTAAGTAATCTCTACACCCAACTTGGGGTTTAAACTCATGACCCTGAGATCAAGAATTACATGCTCTGGGACACCTGGGTGGCTCAGTCCGTTAACCTCCTCCTTCTGCTTGGGTCATGATCCCGGGGTCCTGGGATGGAGCCCCACATCAACTTTCTGCTCGGCAGGGAGCCTGCTTCTCCCTTTCCCTCTGCCTGCCACTCCCCCTGCTTGTGCTCTCCCTCCCTCTCTTCTGTCGATCTCTCTCTGTCAAATAAATAAATGAAATCTTAAAAGGCACCAGCCAGGTGCCCCAGCAAGAAACACTTTTTTAAAAAAGCTTTTCTTAATTTCTCTGAAGAACATCAGAAGCTTAAAAAAGTTGTCAATAGTTTTACACTGTTCTTCATCATGGTGCAAAGATAAACCTGCCCTGCCCTGGCCAGACTATCACAATTTTCAATTCACAGTGTTGGATCATAATAGTAGGTAGATAAAGAGTATACTTATCATGAAAAAAAAAAGTAGGTAGAAAATGAGTGGGGGTGGGATAGTAATTTGCTGAGTATATTTCATGCAAGGTAAGGTCAGAAAAAAATAAATGGTCATTTTGGCCCAAGATTTTTTTTTTTAATGTTCTGGTTTTTTCATTCATTCAACAAGTAGAGTCCGTTAAAAGTGTCTATTCTTTATTTCTGCATTTATTCATCAAGCATATATTGTATACCTACACATGCACTTTCTGTTAACAACTAGGAATTAAAAAACTAATTTCAAAAATGTCTTCCCTTTGGGAAGCTGATAATGTCTCCTCTACCTAATTTGGTAATAAATGGGAAGAGCTGGGGAAGGGGTTCTTAGAAAATCTTCTTAAAGAGGTAGTGCTTGAACTTGATTTATAAGTAATGAACTAACCACAAAAAATTCTGTGTCTATGGGACGCAGAACCTAATCAAAGGAGGTGTAGGTTGGAGTGAAAAGCAGTGGGCAGGGAGTTTTAGAAATCTTGGTTTCATTTGATCAAATCTGTAGTGTCCTGGTAAACTGGTTCTCCTGAAAAAAGGAGGTTTGATTTGTACCATTTGCTGATTCCTGCGGTGTAAATATTCCTACCGTGGCTGATTTCAAGGTACTAATGATTTAACAACTGGCTCAAAAAATTCCTGAATATTTAACAAAGGGCTCTTTTAAGACAGTTTAAACTGGTTCCTGCACACCACTGACTGTTCCTACCAGCTTTATGACTTTGGATGTCATTTGCCTTCTTAGATTTCAGTTTCCTCATTTATAAGTGAAAATGTGGGATTAGATGACCTAACATCCTGTCAGCAATAAATGTTCATGACTAAGCCATACAGTCACTTAGAAGCACTGTAAACCTTCTAAGGGCAGGGGCTATGTCTGTTTTATTTACTACCATATACCCCACCTCTACCACATTGCCTGGCATATAGTAGGTGCTCAATTTGAACTGAATTTTCATTTCTTAGGCAGTTACATATCACCTAATATGTCCAGGCACTACTTTAAGAACTTTCAGATATTACCTCATTTTGAGTGAATAACTATACCAAGAGAATGGAAAAAATTTGAGTGATGGAATAACATGATTAAATCAGTGTATTAGCAAGGATGCAGAAAAATGAGAGGTGGAGAAAACAGTATATATACACAGCATAAAACTTTATGTAAAATGTAGCCTCTCTATCCAAACAAAGCAGTGGTATCAGGACAAAATTCCAGAACCACTTTCCAAATGGAAAGCGGATTTAGGGAGGCAGTGTCTCTAAATTGATTAATTATCTGCTCTGCCCAGCGCTGCCCAGGCCTGCCCAGAGGGGAGATTTTTACAACCTCAGAGAAAATTGGTTTCCCTAGCAATAAGGTGAAGATAGAATTGTTTTCCCTGGATGAAAATGCTTTAAACAGACTTTGTGAACTCTAAAGCACTAAATCCATGTAAGGCGTGAGGGTTTAGCAAACTGCTTCTGTAATTGTTGCTTTTCAAATATGCTCAGCTAATACCTTTATACTGGCTAAAAATCAGTGCCATTTTTTTCATTGAGTTCCTCTTAGTCAATGATATAATCAGTCTAAGCAGTACAAAAATACATGTTCTACATAGATTTTATTTTGTTTTGAAAAAAAAAATAAAGTGGGGTTCACTATTTTTATTTTTCCCTGGAATTGCCTTGAAACAACAGAAGATGTTGACTACTGAGCTCCTAAAAATTGGTGCAGTGGCCCAGACAGGACATAATAAAGTCCTAGCCTAAGCTGATGGCAGTGGAAATGAAAAAGAGGAGAAAAAAGGAGTAGAATCAACAAATATTTTGAAGGAAAAATCAACAGGATTTAGTGATTGATTGGATTGGGGCAAGGGCATGTTGAGAACTTTGATCTGTTCTTTTCTTCATTCATAACCCCCTCTTCCTCTTTGTTTTTTCAGGATCTCAGGCCTCCAAATAGTTATTATATTTACTAATTAGATAAGAAATTTTTTCCTGGAATAAAAAATGCTTCAATAACACTTTATTTGTGTTTATGGCACAGGAAAGCCACAGTGAGGTCTCTCTGCCAAGCTCTTATAAACTAACTCTAAATGTTAAGTAAAATGGATGTGATTCGATCTGTGATTTGTTGATACAGAGAGACCATCTATAATCTGGATCACCAGAAAATGTGGGGATGACCAAAATTCCAAACTAAGTGACCTGGTTGTATTCTCTGGACACAGGACTGGAATGGGATTTTATAGTAGTAAATGGAAACTTGATTGTTATGACACCCTACTGGGACATCCAGTACCCCAGGGTTGGCAGCAGAAGACATGGGAGAAGAAAGGTCAGTTAGCAAAAGATTGGGAGGTATTTCTCAGAGACCCTGGATCTGTAAGGCAGGAACTTTCCGGAGATATATACATATTGTGGGGAACGGATGCTTCATCACATCTCACCCTGGCCTGGAATAGACGTTCCTAAAACCATTTGCCTCCTTATATTCTGATTCCATGCTCACCATGCTGCCTTGTGACTCCTCCACACTGGGAGGAGAGTGTTTATCAGGAGAGGTGATTCCTGACAGGGAAACATGAGCACTTTCTAGTCAATAGAAAGGAATAGACCAGAAATCACAAACTAGGGGTCATATTAGGACATGCAGATAGTTTAATATCTGCACAGTTTAAAATTTTTTTAATTAAAAAATTTTTTAGGGGCAACCTGGGTGGCTCAGATGGTTAAGCGTCTGCCTTCGCTCGGGTCATGATTCCGGGTACCTGGGATTGAGTCCCGCATCGGGCTCCTT